TGGATGGAGTAAATTCTGTGAGGTGTATCTTAGTGTGGGATTGTGACTCCAGATAGTAGTTATCCTTGTTTGTCTGGAGGCTCCGATGAGCGTGTCACTCCCTGCTCAATTGAGCTCACACTGATCAGCGGGTGTCGATCACTTCTAATCCAGAAAATAATCCGGGGGTTGTTTCCAGCATGTGCGGCCGCACAGCGAAGTGAATAAAGACACACTGGGCTGAAAGGTGGATGGTAGGATGGAGCAACCTCAGCCCACAAGCTGTTCTCAATCTCGGTTCAGTTTCCTACAGATTTCACTGCAGTTACGAGATAACAGCGGTTAAAGGGTTTTCGTTCTGTCCTGTCCTGTCAATCGACAATGAGAAAGTTGTTTCCTTCACTCGACCGTGGGTGAGGTAAAGCGGGTATACAAGGGGAGTCTGAAACACACGCTGACCCTTACGTGTTTCCCCCCAAACCACTGGGGCTTCCTCAGAGGGGCGTGTAGTCAGTGTCTTGCATCGGTGTGTTATATAGCTCACTAATGAGAGCCTATTAGAATCCTGATTCGACAATTTAACACAGCTGTGTATAAATCTAAATTGATAACAATTCATTTTTTACAAGAGGCTTTAATAATAATAAACAGACACCTGTGCGGTCATAAATAAATTCCCAATGCCCTCCAATGTCAGTTAAGTATATACAGAGACCATAAATCAACATATAAACCCAAAGATAGCCTAGCATATAGGTGGTGTTAATATCCACCATGTCTGCCAGAAAACAACACAGTGGGAGACATGCTGGAAGGCAGCTTACAATTTATAAAGGGGTAGTCTTATAAGTTACACCAGTTATGTACCAATAGGGACAGCACAGTTGGCAGCTGCTATTAGGTCTATTTTCCTTAAAGTGACATTTAACCCTCAGATTCTTTAACATAAAACAATACTGTAATGTGTGCCTTACTGTAATCCATGGTTGTTTCCCTTCTCTTTGCTGCTCTTCCTTTTAAATCTGTATCTGTTCTCATGCTTGGCAGAACTTCTGTTTTGCAGCAGACTGCCTTGTCTCAGGAATGGATACACGGTGTCTGTGCATACGTTTGTATAGGTTTGTAACCTGAGCCAGCACTACAGGAAGAGGCCCTGAGCTGAAAAGGGAAGTTCTCCCCAAGCATGAGAAGACATGAGGATTTAAAAGGAAAAGCAGCAAAGAGAAGGGAAACAACCATGGATTACAGTAAGGCACACATTACAGTATTGTTTTATGTTAAAAAATCTGAGGGTTTAATGTCACTTTAAGTCACAAATCCCTGTGTCTTTCCCCTGACTGTAACAGTGAAAGTGGCATCATGCCATTGAAAGCATCCATCATAGGAAGGAGGCAGAACTTCCTGGGAACAGTTCATTTTATTTGTGTGCTGAAGAGTTTAGCTCCACTACTGCAGCCAGGAGAAGCTGTACAAAGGCTCTGGTATAAATGATTCATGTACCTGTGGCTGCTGCCGCCTTGTAAATTGAAAGTGTTTTAAATCTAGCACTTTCACACATAATGTAATTGTTCTCTAGCTCTTAAGTGTATTATGATGAGTTAAGAATTGCGATCTGCGCTTACATTTTCCTCCATAGCATAGAGAAGTTTATCTATGCCCTGCCATTTATTGATATAACCTGCAGCAAAGTAGTTACGTGTACCCTGGGGAACAAAAATCTATCAGCTAAAAACCTTTAGAACTGACATTCTGCCCATTGGCAAGTCCTGCAGTTCATCTCCTGCAGTCCCTTACTAACCCACGAACTGCCAGATCTCAAACTGTAAAAAATGCAAGTGTTGGACAACAATAACATTATTGCTGTTTAGTTATCTTGGGTGATAAAACACATACCTTTCAAGTGCAACCTAGCATGTACAATAAAAATTATACCTATATTGTTATTCACACAACCTCCCTAAAGCAGTCAACACTATCCATGACTCTGATGTACCAATCTGGCTGAACTAATAAGCTAGTAACTTCACCCTTAGTCAATATATCAACAATGACAAGGTAATCAAACAAGGCCCTACCTCTCACTTCCTTCTACTGAAAAGTATACCTACTACACTATACTTTATACCGCTCAGACACACCACAAACTTTATCTCAGCGCTGAAAAGGAGGTTGGGGCTGGAAGAGTTCCCTATACTAGAAGCTGTGATCAGAGGTTTAACCCGGGGGCAGGTATTCTTAACATCCAGCAGATTGTGGGTACCACTTTAAACCATATCTAAATGGTAAAGTATCTCCATAAAAGGCTACCAACCTAACATATTTTACTAGTGGCAGGAAAATACCCTCCAGCCCAGTCCTCCCCTGTCAATAAGTGAATCAGTCTTACAACATCCTCCCATAAAAGACGTTCCTGTCCAAATATACAGTATGAGCAGCTAGCTTAAAGGCTAATTCCACCTTTCATACCATGTTCCATGGTACACCATAGTCCATGGTCGTCGTCCCCCCATTTCGAGTGGCTGTGCCTGCGCAGCCACATCATTCATTCACAGATTCACTTGGCAGAGGGACTTGTAGTTTTCAGTGCAATAAAATGGTGGTGGCTTCACCACACTTGTAGTTAATTGATAACTTTCTCCAGCTCCATAACTGAAGGTCTAGGTGCAGACCTAGGGCTGGAGGAACAGTCTGCAGGAGCCTGTGCATTGCACTGAAATCCACTGATTACAGTTGCAATACTTTGCAGGCTTCAATGCAAAAAAATTAATGAATGAAAAGTTTTTGTTTTTGCAATCTGGGTGCATCTATTTGTGTTTTGCAAAAGTGGATTATGCCTTTAATCAAAGTTCAGCCTGTCAATTCCCTTGGTACTAGAATCAACAATTTTGCAAGACACACACTGTGAATTAATGGCATGTATTCCTTAAAACAGTAAATCCCCCAAACAGCTACCTGTAATAAGTTTGATAAGTACACTCGTACAGCTTTCTCTGCTGGAGCCTGCATTGAGCAGTGCAGTGCGGAAAGTAATTTATATCGTTTAGGTTTTGTTTCATTCTATGTAGTGTATTACTGCAGGTAATATTACAGTAGCAGGCTACAGATTTGAATAACTTTTGTGTACACACCATATCTATTGCAGATAAGCCAGCAGTAACCTTGTAAATGTGTGCACCTGTAACTAAAGGATTCAACCTTGGCAGGTAAAACACCTACAGAGCATGAATCAGTCACAGTACTCCATATAGCCCACACTAACCCACATGAATGATACAACACAGAGCCTGCATGTTTTTTTGTAGCAAAACTCCTGCATATACAATATGCTGTCAGGCTTTTTCATTAAACGGGCAGTCCACCCACTGATATTTCACTGCTTTCTAAACACTAAGGAGTCAAATCACTCAATGGCATCCTTTACTCAGTAGCTGTGATGGGATCTCTACTTAGTGTTCCCATTTTGCCCCCTCTACCTCAATGTCTCATTACTGCTTCTGCAGCATGGGGAGTCTTACTATCGTTGCTGCATCCTCCATTGCATAAAACAGTAATAGATTATTGTGCATGTGTTAGCCATTGATTAGTGCAGAAGTGATACCCTTTATTGGCTAACTTAAGTTATTAATGTTTCAAGCTTTCAGGATTACTTATATGCCTTTACCAGGCTTTATATATTTGCACGATGAATAAAGGGTATCAACTAAACTACAAAGGGCACCACTTAAACTCCAAACTCTCTGCACCCGGTGGCATCAAAAGCAGGGTGCAGGGGGTGCGGCCCGCACCGCGTGACTCCCAGCCTGGGGACGCCTCTGTCTGCACCTAGCATAAAAAGCATAATCCAACAGGGATGGCAATAAGACCCCCTAGTATTATTACCCAGGCACACTTACCAACTCACATGCATAAAAGACAGGACAGTGCCAAGGTAAATCGGATAACATAGATCATACTACTAGAATTCCTGAGAGATTAAATAACACAGTGGGTGAATCAGCTCTCCGGGGTCTACTAATACCTGAAATATCAGATTTGTATGGACTCACACTTGAAGGCAGCACAAAGTGCAATGCCTCTAGCTAATGTCCTGTAACTGATAGCATTGGCAACCAATCGATTTATTTGCTATTGTAAGAGAAGAAAAATATTAAATCTGATTTCCTGTTCTTAAACATTGCAATTTGCATGTATAGTGTTATATGTTGCAGGGCCTTATCATGAGAGCCTGCTAGAGGTGTATTACAATAGTTCAAGGAACAGTGGTATGGTCATAGCAGCCTATCAGAGAATAGTTTTCAATAGTCTGTTCACTGAAAACTGACATCTAATTGCTCGGCACATGTTACCAAACACCAGGTCATTAAAGGGAACCCCAGCCAGACTAAAAGCTTCCTACATTTAAAGTGTGACTTCTAATGTTCTCCCAGTCTTGCAATTCAGGCACCCTTGCACAGGCAAGAGGGTGGCCACACTGGTATTTACTATCATTTAAATGATCACATGAATTAAAACTTTCACACAAGTACAGGAAAAGTAAGTATACAGTTTTATGCTTGCTCGAGAATGGTCAGCAATTTTCCCTCAGCCTGTGACATGACAAAGAAGTAGATTCAGCACACTGATAAGGTCATGGCTCTGCACTCTCCTCCAGTCAGCATACTCAAACAGTTGACTGATAGCATGAGTAAAACGATAGAATCCTAACTGGTTCCTTCCTCTTCCAGTGTGAGTGCTGCAGTGCAGAGGATTGCATAGGACTGATATAAATTATGATATTATGCTAGTTCTGTCTTTAAATACATATTGTAATAAATAGGTTAAATTATTTATTTATTTATTTTATCTACCTGGAGTTTACCAAGAAATAAATCTGTATGTGTGTTTATTTAGTACGTACTATACACCTAGATATCATATGCATTACGTCAGAACTACCACCATAACAATATGCCGCCAACCATTATAATCGTAATAAAGGTCAATGCTCTTTAACACTCCCATTGCATTCTAATATAACTGACCTGATCTGTCATCCGAATCCTCGAACTCCACGTTGAAGGCATGGCCATTATTTAAGATGAGTTTGGCAGTTGATGGATCATAGCTTATGATCAACGGAGGAAGTGATGGGTCATGTTTGGCTTCACTTGTAACAATGTTAATAGGGGACTGGTGATCATCCTCAGCGATAGGGAAGGAATGATGCCAAGTGTCAGGTCCTACAAGCAAAAAAAAAAAAGTAAGAAAAAAAGTAAACAATAATGATATTATTCCATGTTCAGATCTTCAATTCTGTCATTTTTTTTCTTAGTACACAAACCAAGTAAGGCATATAACAGCAGATATACAATATAAACACATATTTGAACCATTCTACTTCTACTATTTGATACATTTTAAGTAGAAATGGTCCTCTGTCCATCAGCAATGGGATCTAAATGCTATGAGAGACCAGAAATGTACTATAACTGCTGACAAGGTTTCTCAAGGTCAAAATACAATGAAAATGCTAGCGTGGTGCAATAAGATCCAAAGTTTAATCAGTACCTCTTTAAAAGTTAATATTGGATGTGTAAGAGTCTACACCAGACAGTCCACACTATTATTAACTCGTTCAAGGGATATTGCTGCACTTTGTGACCTGAGAACAAAAATCCTCAAAGCATTATTCCAGTATGATATTACCTTGTCAATGCCTATTCATTTCCCAAAATAGGTCAAAATAATGCCGCCGATAGGATATGTTTGTTAATATTGCAAAAGAATTTGCAATTACACCAGTGGTAAGATGTCAAGGTCAAACATTTAAGGAATCCTGAAATTTGTGTTCTGAATTTATTTTAATGGTGACTTAAGTTCACAAAGTATGGAAAAACGAATACGAAAGATAAATATTTTCCACTTAGTACTAGTGTTAAAAAAATAGGGAAGTGCTGAGAATTTCTGTCCGGTGTCTCATTATTTGTAGGAGGACACATTACCGGCCAAAGTATCAGATAACCAGATCTTGATGTTATAAGATTTGCAGATGCAATTAGTTTAATTTCTCTTGCTGCTGCACACCAGAGGGGACTCACTACAAGTTAATGAAAAGGCAATCCAGTGTAATGAATAACGCAGGGCACTCTATTTATGGTGAGGTGGATGCATAAGAGACTAATACTGTCATCTACTCCGTTACTGATGGTCCAATATTCAAAAATAGTGTCATGAGTGATCCATTTAATGATCACCAATGCTCCTTGGATATATATATTGAGATTAAATAAGTGAATGTGACACTAGTTAGCATACCAAGACCATTTCAGAAGAGCTTCTTAGTAGGTGTAAAGGAAGGGGGCCACCTGTCCCCATCACTCACCATTGTCAGGACCATATCCCCAGGAGTGTGCCATGGTCAGCTGCTCTCTGCTGCTCCTGCTGGTCAAGTCCTTTTTCTGGACGCCAATGAGTCAGTGTCAGCCACCAGGCCTCTTGTTGTGGGCTTTTATAGGGTCCCACCAACTCCATCTCACACAGACCATAGCAGGTGGGTTTGGCTCTCAGAGATAAGCCTGTTTAGGGGTGGGGAAAAAAAATAACCTCTTCTTCTATCACAGGGTGAAGATGATGATGATTTGTACTCCAATGACAGTCTCTTCCTCTGCACTCCTCCCATTTGTGATCTTTAACTTCTGTATACACATTACACATGCACGCCACAAAGTCAGCAAGGCAATTTCCAAGCACCCATAACAAGGTCAGCCTCCTCCAGATCTGACAAGTTTATCCTGACAATAGTGACAAACACAGCTACAAAGGGCAGTGCTATATCACCAAGAATAATAATTTCACTTTGCACACTGCAGTAAGTGAATCCTGCATGGGAAGACTATCTGCAGCCCCAAAGACAAACCTTACACACAGGATACTTACTATACAGAGATTGCTAATAGAGAATGCTGGGGAATACAGATCCAGATCTAAAGCTCCATTGAAGACATCATCCTGTATTTGCTAGACTTGGTCCTTTGATCCGATTTACCTTGGCAATCTCATGTCTTCCATGCATGTAGAGATGACCACTCAAGTCTATGTATGGGAGATGAAGAAACACTTATTTCCCTTGTCACAAGACACAAAGTAGCTTCTTCAAGGTCACATGTAGGTTTATCATCAAGATGTCCCCTTGTAAGTCAAAGTGTTCTCTCTTAAACACTCATCAGCTCTGTCTTATCGCCAGAAAAGAAGCTGCACAGAGAGCAACAGACCTCAAGGGTCGCCTTGTGGGCTTTAAGAGCTACAGAAGTCCAGGGTTTAAAGGGCACCTGCAGGAATCCAAAGCATTGCATCCAGAAAGCAGAGGGAGATTGTAAAAATGAGAGCAACACAGATGCAGGCGACATATAGGCATTAGAATTAACACAGCAATGGCATCTGACAGATCATGTGTCTTCTCCACACTGTGTAAACCTGCGCTCCTCCTCTCAGCATCCATCTCACAGTCACTTCAACAACGTGCAACATCACATCACATTAGAGATGGGGAAATCTTTCAGACACCTGTGCATTGCATGAAAACACATCGTCCATAACTAGCCAAAGCATTCACCCCTCATTGCCCCTAACGACCCCAGCTTCTTCCCAGCACCTACCTTGACTCCCTTGGCTTCAAACGATCCAAAAATAACGCATAATCTCCCGCATTGCAATAAATCATACATTGACCTTGCTGCTCCGAGACGTACAACTGCGGTTGTGTGATCTGTTTTATTAATTAGGATTGGATTACACTCAGTAGATGGTCGTCTGCTGCCCCCTGCTGGAGGGATTGTAGAACGGCGGCTGTACGGAGTGTAGCGGAGATCGTGTTCTGTATATGGCTCGCCATCCACATCTACACACCACACACAGTCACTTCTTGTCACGTTTTATAGATCCCACTCTTTACACAGCTCATTCTATTCAATAAGCTTTGATCACAGGCCGTGTGTATTCGGTTACATTATTATAAGGGAACGCGTTAATACAATGAGACAAAATAAGTTGTTTTTTTTTTTACCGTCGTCTTAGTTATTGTTCTCACAATAGACTTAATTCACAAAGCTTTATGTTAAGTTCTAGGTAAATTGTCAGCGCTATATAAATACCTGTAATTAATAAATAATTTTTAAAAAGATGCGGTCACATAGCTGAGTGCCATAGACTAGGAAACAGACTCCTGATTTTTCCCTTTTAAAATAGAAAAAAGAGATTGACACATATAAAAGAAAAAAAAAAAAGTAAAAGTCCCCTACCCACTCATACACATGCAAACATGCTTCGGGTGCACCTACGTGCAAAAACGATTATTGCGCCCCTTGTGCCGCACATGTTACATAACGCCGCGAACGTCGCAGTGAGAGCAATCATTTTAGGTCCATTAATCACTGTTAACACTAAACTGATGAGCAGTAAAAGTTTTTAAAGTGTCGCCTGTGGCCAATTTTAGGTGTGGTAGTTTTTTGCGATTTTGCAGGCACACGCAATTTTAAGGCTTGACATGTTTGGTGTCTATTTACCCGGCGTGACCCCGTCTTTTATATTTTACCAAAAGATTGGGTAATAATAAATGTTTTATAACATAGAATAGGAAAACACGTTTTTGTTTTTTTTTTAATTGGTGCTTTTTTGTTATATAGTAAAAAATAAAATCCCCCAGTGGTGATTAAATACCACCAAAAGAAAGCTATCTGTCCCCAAAAAATGGTATAAAAATATTTTCAGTACAGTGTTGCATGACGGAATAAATGTCAAAGTACCGCAGCGAGGAATACTGAAAAATGGACTGGACAGGAAGTGGGTTTAACAACGCGGTCAACAAGTTGTTAAAGATCGTTCGCCATTGATGTAAAGAACAGCCATTGGCTTTGCTATGTGTTTGGAAAGCTTTATAAGTGCAAAGCAGAGGCCCGTTCTGTGCGACCATGTGAACCGGCCCTATGTGTATGCAAGCTTTTTCTTTTAGGAGTAATTAAAAATTATTCATTATTCTGTAGAGTACAAGTACACATATTCAGTTGGTTGCACAGACTGACACTGTTTATTATATGGCTGGGGCTTGAAATCCTGCAATGTGAAATCATTAAAAATAACCAGATGCAGTTTACAAATAGTGGAGCCAGTAACCTGTAGGTGTAAACTCTGTAGACCGTGGACCTTAAATCTGAACTCTAGGCAAACTGCTAAATATGCAGATATACTAAGGCTGTATTGAATGCCAAATGATTTGTACTTCTTGCCATCCAGTCCTGGCTGAAATGTAAAGGAGCAGCAAAAGACAGATGAGGTCATCTCTGTGCTTTCTCCTCCAATTAAAATGTTCCTTGTGAGCACAGGTAAATGGAGGACATTTAAATACTGCTGTTTATGTGATTATACGGGGAAGAAGCCATGCTAAATAAAAGTATTTATAATACTGGCATTTTAAATAAAAAACATTTTTTTAAAGAAATACAAAACTAAATGTATTTTCCCCCCTCCCTCAGGGGCAGGGCCCTCCTTACCATCTTGTCTTGAATTGTATTGTGATTGTAATGTCCGCTTTATATTGTAAAGAGCTGCACAAACTGTTGGCGCTATATAAATCCTGTATAATAATAATAATTGGTGTTTTCTTTTAAAATTTGCCCAGAGGTCAGCATTAAACAAAGCCATACATGCAGTTACAAGGGTTCCTGTGTTAGTGTTGTGGCTTGGCAGTACTGGTGTCCTGGGTTAGTAGGGACCAGTAAATCTTCTTATGTTCTTCATATAAGAGTGATTAACGATGAGCAGCACACAAGATTTAAGCCAGTCTATAACAACTTATGTCAGCCCTTCTGCTAGCTAACATATTGTCAGTTTGGGCTCACCTTTGCTTGTAAGGGCTTATAAAGTGAAACTGTTATTGTATAATTGTATTATAAATTATGTTTTCTTATTAAGAATGAGATCTGTGGTAACTTACAGTACACAAAGCAGAAATGTCTTTAAAGCTCCTCTCTGGGGAAACCAAGAAGACTACCATTACAGTGGGGCTATGCCTATACTGCAAGGTTCAAGTGTTTGTTTATGTCTAGGGCACAAGAAAAGAAGCTATTTTACTTACCTGATTCTTGCTCCCACTGGCTCCCTCTGGGCTGCTAGAGTGGTCCCCGCAGCCTCTTCGCCATTTTACTCTGGAAGTCTAATGACCACTGATATCATCAGATGTATTGCATGTTCCATCAACCTGCATTAGACCTGAGGACACTAAGGGACATTCCACCAGCTGGAGTGGAGAGAGGCAAGCTCTCACCATCGGGGCAGCGATGATCAAGTAATAGTGCTTTACTCCAGTCTCCTAGATATAAACGAGCACTTAACCCTTGCTGTACAGGGTCGGATTTCCATTTCAGGTGCCTCTAGGCACGAATGGAAATCTGTTTAGCCTGAGCCGCCACCTTTACCTGCTGCGGGAGGTCTAATGATAAATACGACCCTGGGTAGCCCGTGTGCAAGGGTAGTTTTTTGGTTTGCCGTGGGACAGGCTTTAAAGAGACTCTATTAAGAACGCCTGTGGATGTAAAGTGAAGCAGTCTCCAAACCCCTGGTCATTATGGTCGAATGTCTATTGGTACTGATGATGAGGAAGCTTGCCAGTCCCTTCCTGCCTCCTGTACATTCATATGGGTTGTTGAGGCAGCCCATCATAATGCTAGACCAATATGAATTTGGAAGAGCAGGTCAAAGTGGCAAGCTCTGACACTACCTGGAAGTATTCCTCAGCCTCCCTCTGTGTATATCAGGACACTCATCAAAAAGGGGCAGTGCATGGTGATGGATGGATCATTGTAGCTGCTTCCAGTGCCAGCCGGCACCTGCCCTTTTCTGATGTCACTTCCCTCTGTTTGTGATCCCTCCAACTAGCAGGAAGAAAGAGTCCAGAGAAGATGGTGGAGTAGAGTACACTATTAGAAAGCAATGAAGGGTGGTATTCCAAGTCATTTAGATTGTTTAAAGGTTGGGAAGTGGCAACAATACTACTCATAGTACCATAGTATAAATGTGCTGTAACTGTTAATGTCTGTATGCTCTTTCCAGTTAGTATTGAACTAAGAGACAGCCAGGCAACTACTTTTATGAGTTCAATGGCAGTGGCCGTCAAATTTCTCTCAAT